CCGGTTTAGGTCCGAATGATATAAGCTTACATATAGTTTATCTCTTGTGATAAGTTTTCCCACGGACATAATGTAAGAGCATTCTTGGATTAATTTCTAACGACATTTAAATCCGCAGTTGACTCATATATCTTTTTATCTATAAAAAGTTGCACCATGACTTCTTAATGCAGATGCATTATATGGTTCTATTTCCGATAATTTATTGAAATTTAAAGGGATTCTTCGTACTTATTCATAAATAGTAGGTTTTTTTTTTAAATCCATGCATTATTTCGATCAATTTTCTAATGATTTATTTAAACCTGTAAGAGATTTGTGATAGGATAGTCCACGTCTTTTAATGTCAATACATTGTTTGGATCACTTTCTGGTGGTTATCTAAATTCTCTATATTTTCACATTTTGCGATAAGTTGCTTCACGGTTAAAGATGGGCAAAGTGTATATTTTGCCAATCACCATGTAGTCACCATGCAAATTACCATGCGTATGATTACTTATTAACCATGCGCATAGTCATCTGCATGGTAACTGCACGGTGATTGGCAAAATATGCATTTTGCACATCTCTATTCACGGTTCTGCAATATTTTGTTCTATTAGTGATTCATTTTATTTATTCATCTTAATAGGTTGCACTATTATTTCTTAATGCAAGTACATTATCCTGATCAATTTGGAATGCTTTATTCGAATGATTTTCAGATCTACCTATTATACGTAAAGTTTCTTTCTTCGTGATTGCTTGGCAAAATGCATTTCCTCTTTATATTGCCATAGGCTTCTCCACGACTGCTTAGATAAGTGTATACTTCCAATGACATATGCTACGCATTATAACATCTCCGATCTACTAGCGTCCATGCATTATTCGGTTCAAATTCTAATGGACTGCTTAAATACGCAACGTGTTAGTTACTTACATCCCAGTGATTTTCATATTAAAACTCCAAGCTTCTTATTACGGTGAAACCTCTATAAGTGCATAACCTCTTTAAATGCATACCCAAATTCTAGCACAACATATATGATCTCTATAAATGCACTTTTTCTTATTATTTGTTAAATGCACGTTGTTAAAGCTCGGTCCCAAGAGTGTGCACTTTTAGAGGTTTTACTGTATTAGTATAGCTTTAGACGTATATATTCAATAAATATTTGATAATATCGGATATTCATTTAAATTTTTAATCGATATCCAGTTATTAAAAAAAAAAAACTGAAATAACTGGACTTAGACTAATCAGACCTCTAATCACACCTTTTACATTATAGATGAGTGCCGCCAAGAGAAAATGAGACCTTGAGTATTAAAGTTTATAACTTATCGGACTTAGTCTCTTGAAAGCGTCTAATCAGTGATAATATAAGATACAATTAATTTAATCACATAGCATATGTAGTTTGTCAGATTTTTCAAGGTTAAGTCCGATAAGTTATTAACTTAAATTCCTGAAGTTCCATTTTCCCTTGGCGGCACTCAAATTATAAATACTTACATATTTCTAATTTGATCTATAAGTTGAGATGGTCATCGAAGTCCTTCAAAGTATTGGATTTTAAACCGTGGATCTAGTATAACTGATGCAATATGCAATAAACTTGTTTTTTGGCAATATTCTAAAAGTTTATCAGATGCAGCTTCACACCCTTGCTTAAGCCATTCTGGCGTATTATTTTTTTTTATAGATTCTTCAAGCGATTCAAGCAATGAATGGTAGAGGGGGATGACCATTGACAATGTTGGATATTCCGACGACGACATAAATGTGGTCACTAAATCGAATTAAACTGAGGTGAATATTTTTTCTCTATAATGTTTATTTATATTCAGTCAAACCTCTCTAAGTGCATAGCCAAGGGTCGGCCAAAAAATCTTGCATTTAGAGAGGTATTGCATTTAGGAAGATAAAAATCTATAAGTGTTATATGAGTTTAGGCCAAATAAGGCCATGCATTTAGAGAGATCTTTCATAGACTATGCATTTAGGGAATATGCATTCAGGAAGGTCTGACTGTTATACTTTTTTTTTTTTTTTATAATTATATATATACTGAAAATTAGTGATCACAGTTAATCGACTTTAGTTAGTCGATATAATTATCAACTAAAGTCGATTAGTTGATTAATATATACTGACCGTCCTTAAAGGGTAATAAAACTTCAACAAGAAGTTCTATACTTTTCCACTCATTCTCAACCAAAATATATTGATGTAATTCTGTTTCAGAAAAAGACATAGCATTCAATACTGTACGCAGCTTCAATGCCTGTTCACACATATCAAAGGTGGAGTTCCACCGTGTTGCTACATCGAGAATTGGCTTTAACTCATTAGATAGCTTTAACGTTTTACAGCGTATTCGTGATCCTCTGATGCTTTTTATTAATCCACGCAACTAAAATAATATAAAAAAACTATAAATATATAGCCTCACAGGATCCTACTCAGAGTAGGCGCAAAAACGTTTAATGTATATTAACATAACCAGGTGCTTAACCCATTTTTGAATAACGGATAACATAATAAATAATGTAATACAAGTTACATAAAACATTAAAATTTAGTATAATAACCTTTTCTACCTCATTTCCTACAACTTTTAAAATACGCTGGACAGCAAGATTTAAGATATGATCGAAACACCGTATTGATTGTTGCGTACTATCGAACCTAAAACCAGTCATTAGTATAGAACGAGAAAATTCGCGCAAAAATTTTATATTGGCAGATGCATTATCACAGGTTATTGACATTAATTTCGAAAGTATTACATTTTTTTGAAGACAGTCTTCCATAGCCTTTGCAATTTCAATACCCGTATGTAAATCCTCCATAAAAATAAAATCAAGTAGAACATGTTTTATTTTCCATGATTGATCTAGATAATGGATCGTGACAGCCATAAATGACTTATCATTATTAGAAGTTGTCCAAATATCAGTCGTAATAACTATACGTCCAGGAACTTCCTGTAGTTTTTTTTGAAGTCGTTCGCGCTCTCCTTCAAAATTGTTCGTAACATGCCGTTTTATGAGGTCTGCAGAAGGTACTAAAAAAAATTTTAAGTATTTATATTTTACTATAACATTGCTAATATATTAAATATACTATTTTTACCAACTGCACTAGGTTCTAAGTAAGTAAATATAGACTTAAGTTCATCGTCTTCAATAATTTGAAATGGTCGATTACGTTTTACGATCCACCTTTTTACCATGTCAGTAAATTTTTGTTGGTTGAAGGCTTCACGCTGACGGGCTTTATTATTTAACATTTCCAAGACACTAACACCCCTCTTTACATTTGATTCATCTAGTTCAGGCACTTTGCCTTTATGTCTCTTGAGATGTCTTAGAAGATTTGACGTCGTCCCATCATTATAGGTCAGAGTCTTGTTACAAATACCACATGTAGCACTGCCTTTTGCCTTTCTAAAATACGCCCACACAATGAATCTATAAAATAAAAAAGTAGATAAATAAAAAGTCGATAAATAAAAAATGTTAAAGCAAAGCTTTGCATATATTACCCGTCATTTGTATAGGTTTCATTGCAAGTTGAAGGTCCCGCCTGGGATAATGATTCATTTGAGAAAGATTTGTCTTGATGTGGGCCACCTTGGTATGATTCATTAGATTGTGATTTATCTTGGTATGAATTACTTTGATATGATTCATCTTGGCACGTTTCATCTTGATTCAGGTAAGATTCTTTTTGGCACGATTCGTCTTGGTTTAGGTAAGATTCATCCGGATGCAAATCATCCGAGTAAAATTCACCATGGTACAAGAATGGTGGTCCACTCTCTTCAAATTCATCTTGAGAATGTGACTTGGTTGACATTAGAGTTTAAGCAAAAAACTTTAATAAAAATAGCTACTTTCTAAATCGTATTCTTTAATATAAGCTGTAATAAAGAAAAAATCCCACCATAACAAGATCAACAAGGGCCGACCAGAAGATAGATTAATAAAAAAAAATCTTTTTTTTTTCTAAATGCAAGTGTATGTGTATATATATATGTGTTTTTTTTTTTTTAAGTGCGGCTTTTTTTTTAAGTGCAGTTTTCCTTTTTTTTTTTTTAAGTGCGGCTTATTTTTTTTAAGTGCAGCTTTCCTTTTTTTTTCTAGAAAAAAAAACCATAACGGTGATATAGTAAGAAATAGTTTTTTTTTTTAATGCATGCTTTTTCTCAGGCTTTTTCTCTCGAACTTTTTCTTATGCTTTTTCTCATGCTTTTCTAAAAAGAAAACAAAAGTTTTAAAATGCAGGTTTAAGTGTAGGCTTTTACTAAATGCAGGATTTTATTAAATACAGATTTTAACCTTTTTTTTGATACCGTTATTATTAAATCACATTTATAGAAGGTAGAGATATGAACTATAATTTACAAATAATATAAATAAACTACAGTTTACTCTAAAACTGTAGTTAACTATAGTTTTAAAATAAACTACAGTTTATTTATTATAACTAATATATAGTTTATGCTTCACACCTCTAATAGAAGATCATTACGTATTGTTATTTTAGACCGAAATGCAAAAATGCCATCCTTTGTTGGGAGCCCTAATTTCACCTACCACTTCAGATTGGATAAACGAAAAAGTTACTCTGATTGGACAAGATAGACTATACAACTTTTCGCTGGCAATTAAATTGAAAAATCCGGTGTAATATAAAAATGATAGAAATTTTTCAAAAATCATCGGTAACCTGGAATTTCATTTATGAAACAACCCTTCGCGTCTTAATAAAAAAATTCCTTGCGAAGTTTTAGCAGTGTCTATATCTTATTTTACCCTTAATACTGGGACAAATAATATGTCTTATTTTAATATCTTTTTTTTTGCCTGTGTTTAAATCAGAATTTGTAATCAATTTCGCCCAATCTGTGACAGAATTTCTAAGCGTCCAATAGGAACTAGGGGGGAACTCAGTAAACCCTCCTTTGTTCTAAAAAAAAAAAAATCAGAAATCAGCCAATCAACGTATGGTGGACTGGACTGGGTATTACCCGGGCGGACCTACGTGTGGGTCCGAGTCCGTATCGTTCTTGATAAATCATGGGTCCGGGTCCGGTCCGGTCGACGGACCGGACCGGACCCAGATCTTTTGCGGAACACTAAATAATACCTACCACCCTACATGTGATTGAATCCTCAGATAATACCTTACTATTAGGAACAGATTGGTTCCAGAAAACGAAAGCTCGAATCCACTTTGATGAACGTAAGTTATACTTACAATATGCTGACAAATCAGCCAAAATTTTGATGTCTAATAGTAATACCGAAGGTCTTGTTCTACACGAAGACAATGATGATTATAGTGAAGGTGGTGATACTTTTGACGAATTCGACTATGAGGAGAAAGAATTCGACGAATTAATAGAAGAAAATCCTGAAAGTTGACTAATAAGTGAAGAAAACTCTGCATTATACCTCATTAATATAGAAGAGGTCCCTATAAAGAAAGATGGAAAAGAAGAAGACGAAGAAAAATCTGTAAAAGAATTAATCGGAGAAATGGTTAATAATGAAGAAATGAACCAACAAGAACAAATGCAAGCAAAAGAATTTCTACTTAAAGAGAAAACCTTGTTTGCTCAAGAGCTTGAAAATTTAGGCCATACTAAAGTTATCACCCATAGTATTAACACAGGTGATGCTAACCCAATTAAACAAACCTATTATAGGGCCGCTTATAAAGAAAACGAATTTATTAGAAAGGAGATCAATAAATTAAAGAAACAAGGACTTATTACAGAAATAAACAGTCCTTGGGCATCTCTGGTAGTAATAGTACCGAAGAAAAATAGAAAACTACGCTTTTGCATAGATTACCGAAAATTAAATTCGTTTACAAAAAAAGATGTATATTCTTTGCCACTTATCAATGACCTCCTAGACACATTTGGAATGGCAAAATGGTTTTCCACTCTAGATCTAATTAGTGGATATTGGCAAGTTGGAGTGAGTGAGAAAGATATAGAAAAATGACATTTATTACTAAATACGGTACTTACGTATTTAAAGTAATGCTGTTTGGCCTCTGCAACGCTCCGGGAACCTTTCAAAGGTTAATAGACCAAGTACTTGGAGACTGCATTGGAAGATTCGCCATAGTATACCTAGATAATATTATTATTTACTCGAGTTCTTTAGAGAAACATTTAGAACATTTAAAAATTATTTTCAAAAAATTGAGAAAAGCAGAGTTAAAATTGAATCCGGAAAAGTGTACCTTTTTTAAATCTGAAATTTATTATCTGGGACACATAATAAATAAGGAAGGGGTGAGACCTGATGAGTCTAAAACTGAAAAAGTGAAGAAATTTCTCATACCAACGAATATTCAACAATTGAGGGGATTTATAAGATTGGCATCCTATTACTGAAGATTCATCAAAGGATTCGCTACGATAGCCCAACCTTTACACAAGTTATTAGAGAAAGATGTTCCCTACAAATGGATAGAAGATCAGCAAGTTGTCTTCGAAACACTAAAAAGACATCTTATGATGGCCCCTATCCTAAGGTACCCGGATTTTAAGGAAATGTTTTATCTTTATACCGATGCTTCCGGCGTAAGATTGGGAGCTATCCTAGCTCAAAAGGATAAAAACCACAAGGAATATGTGGTAGCATATGCCAGTGGTGACTCTCGAAGACCGAACACAACTATTCAGCCCCAGAAGTTGAATGTTTGGCCGTCGTATAGGCTGTCAAATATTTTCATTATTACTTAGGGGCGAAGCATTTCACTCTAATTACAGACCACGCTGCCCTAAAATGGTTATATACCTCTGAACCAAAAGGGAAGAGAGCCTGGTGGATTCTAAGGCTACAACCATATGATTATAAGATTGTCTACAGAGCGGGACAAAAACATTCTAATGTAGATGCGTTATCTAGAATGTATTTGTAAAAAAAAAAAAAAAAGAATGATTCTTAATACTTAAGAGTTTAGTTTTTTACAGAGAGTGGCCAGGTTGGCAAAAAAGCCTATTGTCAAGAACCTGCAACACATGCGGTAGTAGAAGGCACTGCCAGAAGAGTGTTGAAACGTTATAGACTGATGCAAAAAGGCCCGCATCGAGAAGTCTACAACATTGTGAATATCTAGGGTATATTTATATTCATGTCGGTTTAGGGATGAAAAGATAGATAAGTAAGATTAAAAATCATTCTGAGTGAAAATTATCTTTAAAAACCATAAAGAATAATAGATAATAAGAAAGAAACGTACGGAAAATTTTAAAACCAGAATCAATTTCAAACCAAGAATTAAAAAAAAAAAAAAAAAAAAAAAAAAAAATTTAATAATATAGTTATCCAAATATTCCAAGCCGAAATCTGACGTTAAAAGTAATCTGGTCTAGGTAGTCGGTGTCCTAACATATCCTAACATATTTCAAGATGGACCCATTAAGATATCAATTGCTGAAAACATATCTACAAGTGCATACTTTACCAAGGAAATTAACTCCGCAGGAACGACGAAGCATCCAAGCGCAGAGCTAATTTTTTGTCGTAAAAAATGGTTTAATCTATAAAAAAAATAAACACCAAATTAATCACCTTTTGAGAGTAATTCAAAAATATGAAATTGAACCAATTTTATTTCTGGTTCATACTCACCCGTTGGGAGGACACTTAGGGATAGAAATAATGTTCAATAAAATCAGTAATAGGTATTACTGGCCCCAAATGTACGCCGATATTTGGAGGTTCGTCCATACCTGCGATGCATGTCAAAGAAGAGGAAAGAGTTTGATAAAACCTCCGCTACACCCAATTCTGATAGAAGCTTTATTCTACAAAATAGGGATAGACATAGTTGGAAAATTACCTGTAACTCCAAAGGGTAATAGGTATATTGTAGTCGCTACGGACTACATGACAAAATGGCCTGAAGCCAGAGTAATTAAGAATGCAAATGCTTAAGAAGTGGCTGACTTCATATACAAAGACATCGTTTGTCGCCATGGGTGTCCGCAATACTTACTTTCTGATAGAGGGACTCATTTCCGTAATGCTCTAATGGATGAATTTTTAAAGAAATTCACCATTAATTACCATTACTCTATGCCCTATCATCTACAAACAAATGGATTAGTGGAAAGATTCAATAAGACGTTGTGTGAATCTATATCCAAATTAGTCACAAACGTCAGAGAATGAGACTTACTTATATCTTCGGTACTCTTCACCTATAAAACTGCCAAGCAAAATACAATGAAAATAACTCCATTCTTCTTGGTATATAGAAGGGAAGCCTGATTTCCAATCCATCCTGACGAAAATGAAGAATTATTAGAAAAAACTTTCCTTCAAAGACTCTTCAAATTGATTAAAGTCATACCAGCAGTAAGAAGAGACGCCGTTAAACGAGTTGAAAAAGCACAAGAACAGGCAAAGAGAAGATATGATCGTGGTTTACCACCTATACAAGATTTAAAGAAAGGAGAGTTAGTATTAGTATACAAAGCCTCTCAACAACATTCAAAAAGTCATAAACTTCACCCGAAGTGGAAAGGGCCTTTTGTCGTCCATAAGGTACTCCAAAAAGGTGTATATAAGCTACGCACCATAGAAGGGAAAATAATAAAGACCCCTATAAATAGAAAGTTAATAAAACAATACTATTCTAGATAAGGAAAATTTAAAGAGGACAAAGAACGAAAAAGAACATGAATTAATTAAACTTACCATTTTATAGTAACAATAGTCATGACGTAATTGTCATAAGAAATAGACTTTAATATAATTTATTAAAATCTGTAACTACATTAAAAAGAAAATTAATAAAACAATAACATTTTAGATATTAAAAATTGAGCAAATTGCAAGCAATATAACACATCTAAAGATTGGGGCCAAACATGTAACCTCTAGAAGACTACACAAGGATGAACAAGTGGGAATAAGGAAGTCGATGATTGTAGTTCAACTTAAAGCTAAGAATTACAAATGATATAATGGAATAGATTTCTCTTAATCGATTAGTTAACATCCAAACAATTGGTCATGTGATACCGTCGTGAGTGCCCATTATCGAAGAAGAACAGCGAAGTTAGCCCTTTGCAAGCTAAACATAGCCCAAAATCAATAGATAACTTAGCTCCGCATAACAAATCGTACAGAAATATCAGTAAATCTACTATATAAGAAATAACTTGGAAATTTAAGCTCTTTGAGAGCACTAAGCAAGAAATATATTGAGATGTGTGGATAATAAAATAATATATGAATTTATATTACAATATATTTATATGTGCACTACTTGATATTGAAGGATGCAGATACGTAGAACCTTATAATTTGAAGATAAGATGTCGGGGTTAGAAGATAACACTAATCGAACATGGTGTTTAACAGGCCAAATAGTATTAAATTTGACGAAGAGGAATTTAGCCTTATACGATCTGGTTAGATGATATACGAAGAATTAATAGCGCTTTAGTTAATTATACACAATCCAAGATATCCTTACAGAATTTTGGCTGTAGTAATATTTTACAAGATGAGGGATTTGTAAAGTATACAATTCTACATCTCAGACCTAGGATTGTCTAAAAAGACAAATAAAGATGATCATGAAGAATTTAAATTATTATATGATCCTAGAAGAATCATATAAGACAGGAGAGTAATATACAGTATAAAGGTTATGGTTTAAAATTTTTTTTTTGTATACCATTTTATTAACATCTACTGTAACAAAAATTATTTATAAGCCTTTTAATATAGCAATATCATTTTGCTTAACACTATTATACTTCGTAAATTAATTTATACTAATTCAATAAGGCTTGGAATCAGAAAAACTTTATTTCTCTTTAAGAAAACCCGGAAGAAATTGTTCAAACTATTATCAACGAATTATATACTTACCACGTATTTCAAGTTAGAGGAAAATGGAGCAATGTTTAAAGGGAATATTATAACGGTTGAAATTAAGCTCTAAGTTTCTGCTCAGTTATTACGGAAACGAAAAGAAGGGCAGCCATTTTTGCTAGAAGCAAATGCGCAATCTCACCACAAGAATACAAAAGATGACATGTGATATACCGAACAGCCATCGATTCAAACTCTACCCGTTACAATTACATAAATTCTAATACTACTGTTACAATTCGTAACTTCAATTCTCAAGTGAAGGGAATAGTATAGCGTTTCGTCAGTAATATGAAAAGTTTGTCAGGTGCTGATCATAGGGCATATTTGAAGTTTTAAAAGCAACGGTGCTCTATGTTAAAACAATCGAGCCCTAAACCTAAGATTTCAGTTTGGAACATAAAAATGATGAAATCATAAATAGTATAAGATTTCCTTATATCAACAAGCTTTGACCTCAAGTAAAGGCTATCTGTACAAGTCATCAGTATGAAAGATATTGTAATTATAATCTATATATTACTATTATTATTATTTAAAGCTATAAGAAATTATACTATTAACTAATTTTATTACGAGTAATTATTTTTTTTTGTATAAGATTTTATATTATTTCAAAGAAAGCTAAAAGAATTTATTTATTTATTTAATAATATGTATAATAAGATTAAAACTAATATAATGAAATTAACAGAAATCTTCTTCGTCTAAAAGTTTCTTAAGAGCTTCATAATGAGCCCTTACCTCTATTTGACTATAATCTGTTTCTTTTCTTTTGAACCAAGGGATCTCAGATCTACTACTTCCTTCTGCTTCTTTAGTATTCATTTGGACTTCATCTTCTACATCTTCTATACTATTAGAATCTATATCTTGTTCTTGTTCTCATTTTCTATATACAACTTCATTTAAGTATTCAAGATTATCATTATTTTATACATTTTCTTCAGCTTCAAATTCAATTGATTTTTCTTCTATGTCTATTACATATTTATCCCACCCAATTGTTCGTATATTATCTTCATTGATAATACTATTTTTTTTTTCTTTATCTAGATTTTTTTTGATAGTATTAATTTCTTGTTTTTCCCAACCCAAAGTAGTATCACAAACTTCTCCCTAGCTACATTCACTTTCTTTATACATTTCACATTTTTCTCGAAGTTTATTATTTTCTTCTTCCACATTTTCAATCCACCAATCTCTCCTAAATTCTTAGTGTTAATATTTTAATTATAATAATTATATGTTAAACTTTTATTCTTACCATTGTAATTCATTTCTTAATTCTTTTTGTTCTTCTTTTACTATTACTATATCTTCTTCTAGTTCTTTTATTTTCTTTAATTTTACTTGCAAATTTTGTTTTCCTTTAGTTAATCCTACTCTTAATTCGTTAGTTGACTTTTCTAGTCTCCAATTTGTAGAATACCATTCTTTCTGTTCCTTTTGAAGTTTATCTCCTTCTTCTTTAGCTTCTTGATCTTTTTCATGTTGTTTTAATTGTTGTTTTAATTTTTGAAGTTCTTCTGTTTTTCTAGCTGATTCTTTTCTAAAATATCTAATGGTATTATATGTAGAATCTTCTATTTCTACTGCCTTATACTTATCCTTTTCTTCTATATATAACAA